AAAGAGAAAAGAAAATTCTATTAGTAAATGCAGTTAGATCAGACTTCCCACTTTCATCATAAGAACAGAATAAGATCAAATATTTAACAATCATTCTATTTGTAACCCTGAATTAGCCAAATTGACTAATTCTTTCATTTCTAAAAAAGTCACATTTTATAGATACAAGTTACAGTCTGAGCACTAGACTTTTTGTAATTAACCTATGAATTGCTCACATAACTTTAGGAAAGTGTTAGGTTTTGATAAATTTCTGTTTAGAAAAATGAATTTAGTCCTCTGATTTTAGAAAATGTCATCAAAATATCATCCTTGGCAAAAATCTTATTATTCTTTGAAAGTGAAACATTCCAAATCCTGTCACTTATTTAGGTAACATCAGCTATCTAGTTCAAAGATCCAGCAAAGACAGCTGAGATTTTATAGATTGCGAAGTCTGAACGAGGATGTGAGCAAATGATGGTGCTTCCAGTGAGATTTCGGCCCTTCCAACCATCTAAAGTTTTCTGTTTTAGTTACCAGAAAGAGGCCAGAACAAGCTTGTTCATCAACACCTCTAGAGTGCGGAGGTGTTAGTTTCCTGCCCTTATGACTTTAGCAAATATAATAGTTGCATGATTCTCACTTAGTATGAAAAGAATGACACAAATATAATCTTGGCACTGACCAGTGCACAAGCCTTTAACCTAACACTAATTGTAATTAGGAATAAAATTATCACACCATAATCCAATAAATTGCTAATTACTAGATTTTTCATATGTTTTCCCAATAATTGTCCTTTTTTAAAAATCATAAATGTCGTATTTTGTGTGCTAGATGCAATTAAAATATAATAATGACTAGCCGATCCATGAAGAATACAAGGTACTTGAACGAGATGTTTTTTTCTTACTGCTATTTGAAGTGGTAAAAAAGGCAACTAGGCTTTTAGGGAAACCCTGCCTTTCAGCAGGTTCTTTAGTCCATCTGTGACCCATGAACTATTAAAGATGTAATCTTTAAAAAAATGATACTGAAGATGAATCTCTACATTATTTTATTCCTATGTAGACATGTATCACTATCTATCAGTCAGACTAAAGGGGATTCTCCGACCATGATACAGCACGGTCACGAGATATATTTTATGAAAAGTAACTCATTCCCTACGACATAAATCTTTGCTCCATTTCTTGAAATTAGTTATATGCATGATTATGTACATAAATATCATTTTTGTCTATTTAGACTCCACACAACATAAAGAGCATGTATTAATGATTAGCATTTTAAGAGACCTGAAATCACTCTGCCCATAAGCTGTAATCTATATAAAATTTTTTATCTCCAAACTTTCTAATATTCTCAATTGGTCCTCACATAAAACTTTCTTCATATCTTTTATGATTCTCATGGCCTTTTCTGCATCATTTGATGTTTCCATACATTGTGCCTATCACAACTCCATATAACACTTTCATAATTTTTAAAATATGGTTGAGTAATTTTTTAAATTTTATTTTCAAAATTCTTATGAGAAATGACAGAATTTTAATGTTTTCCTGATGTCATTCCTATAAAAATAATGTGTCACAATCATTGGAAACAATCTATAATGATGCAGTTAGATAAAGAAATTTCTGAGCAGAATCTACATTCAGAATGAACATAAGACATGAGAGTCAAGCTTGGCTGGATCCAAAGGACAGGCTATGTGAGAAACACACTTGAATAAATAACATAGACAAAATTATGTAAGCATTGGAGGTAAGGCTATATTTTTACTCTTAAAGGGTTGTTGGATTAATAAAAGTAATTTTCAGGAAGTTTACTATGGGATTTCTATGAAGAACAGATTGGAGGTATGATATAAAACTTCTTTGATTTCTCTGTCACCTTTTGATGAGTTTTTTTTTTCCACTAAGTTTTCAAACCCTGCCTCCAACACACAAATACATACACACCCTATCCATCTTCCCCACTGTGCTTTTTCTTCACAATACCTATCACCATACAACACATGGACATACCCATTCATTTGTTTAATATATACCCTCAATTAGATCATAGGTTCCAGAAGGTAAGACATTTTTGTCTTTGTTTTTTCCCATTGTGGTAATCCCAGAAACCAGGATGTTCTCTAGCAAACAGTAAAACACAATTAATAGTAGTCAAATAACAATAAGCATGAATTAATGACTGATTTAAGATAGAAATATTCAAACGTTTTATTATAAAAGAAACTGTCATAACTGTATCCCAAATATGACCTAAGGAAATATATAATTATATCTAAGAATATCAAAGTGATGAGGTTTTGGAATATAGGTGAGGTTCGGTGGGGTAAGGTCTGGAGCAAAGACCAAGAAAGAATTCTTGAGATGTCTTTGGTGCAAAATGGTGGTTTTATTACCACCCGGGGACAGGATCTGTAGGCAGAAAGAGCTGTTGCTCTGGGTTTGTGAGGGGTGGCTGATTATATACTTGGGAGTTAGGGAGGTGGGGACAAAGGGGGTGTCCAGAAGGACTGTCATACGCTAAAGAAGACTCTCAGGATACTGGAGGCCTAGTTACTGTCAAGCCAAGGCTGTTTTCCCCTCTAATGAGGCACTAACGTGAAGACAGTTGGGAGTTTCCCGGAGGAATGTTACATTCCTCCTATCACATGTCCTTGTCAATGGGCTGCAGTTTCAAAAGAAATTCGATTTTATTTACATTTCCTTCTGCCTCAGCCTCCCTCAATTTCTTGGAGGGGAGGGTGATGTTAGGGCTCCAGGAAACTCAAGGGTGTCTGGAAGTTAGGCTCTTGATAAGAAAGCTTTTTCCTTGTAAATCTCTAAGACATTTGCAAACTGAGGGAAACTCCTGTCCTTCAGGACTGTGCTCTCTGTCACTTAGCCATTTGCTCTTCCTTTAGGGCAGCCAGGAGTGCCTGAGGAATGTCACACATATCAACGAGCTGGGGGGGCGGGGTGTAGGATACCAGCTTCTGCTTTGTCCTCAGTGAGCCTTCTGCTCCCTCATCAAAAGTTTATAGTAAGAGGGATTTTTAACCCTTTGAGGGGTATATGTATTTATGTGTAGTGGCCATAAAATACATATTTAATGTTGGGGTTAATGTAGAGCATGAAATCATCCATAATACCTGGCTTGCTAAAATGTAACAAGGAGGCCTCTGGGGGAAATGGAAGGTTTCAGGGAAGGGCCTAGGCCTTTGGAATGCGGAGGCCTGGTGACCACTCTGCCTTAGGAATGCCGCGGGGAGGTCTTCCCTGAAGCTTTCTTAGCCCAAACAGCTGCCTTGTGATCTAAGAGATGTATGCACTGTCCCCTAAAGCTGTGTTTAGCAGAACAAGCTAAGCAGCACATTGTCTTTCCCGTAATCAGACTCTTCTATTTTCTGTAAGACCCTTTGCCACACATCACTTGCTTGAGAAACAGAGTAATAAAGATTTATGATTATCCTGAAGCAGGAATAAAGGTGAGAACCAAGAAGAGCAAAGGGTGTTTGTCTCTGAGTGTTGACCCCCTTGCCTTCTCTCCTTCACAGCAAAGTCTGGAGTCATCTTTCATCCATCAGTACAGGGATTGCTGGCCATTCCGGGCATTTATACTGAGTTAAACCTGAACTCTGAGCAAGAAGCTATTCAATTTTATAAATAACTATAAATGACAAAATAAAATTTAGTGTTTATATTCTGTTATTTTTCCTCTGTTGAGTAATATATGCTAATATATGCTAATACTATTGGAACTTACACAAGTATTAACACATAGGAAAATAATCCCCCATTACTCCACTCCTACCATTTTGGCACATGTATTCAGGCCTTTAAAAATAATTTTGAAAATATAGTTGTAATCCAACAGCATTAACAATGTTATTATATTTGTTTTCTTCTATATATAATACATGTAGTGTTATATATCATTAGCATTTCAAAGATCATTAAAAACTCAGCATTTCTATTTAATTATATTCTTTATATTGTCCAAAAAACATTGTGGTTTCCTTTGAATGTTGGTAAGTTCCAAAGTGTTCAAAGTTTCTTCAAGTTACTCATTCAGTCAAAGTTGTGGAAAATATTTTTGGAATTCCTATTATGTGACACTCTGCTGTGGTGAAAACTGAATAAAACCAGCATGGGTCTTGCACACAGAGAGCATGTTTTCTTATAAAAAGGGAGCAGACATTAAACAGTAAACAATGAAAGAGCAGATTATAATTATTTCTATGAAGGGCAGAGATAGGTCCATGAGATTGTAACTGGGGAACCATAGTATGTGTCCTTGTAAATATAGATTTCATAATAAAGGTAAAGAAAGAAGCTTCCAATATACATATACACTTATTCATAGCTATTTATATATATATTATATATAATATATTATATATAGCTATTTATATATTTATATATTTAAAAAAGGAAAAAGAGAAATTTGCTATTTAAGAACTTAAAGTATGGACATGTGGTTATGTGAACATCAGCATTTTAAGACCATTAATAATATGTATTAAAATATTATTAGATCTGGTAAGGCTAGGAAAAGTGATAATTTATGGTGAACATCATGAGCATTTTAAAGAAAAATTGTACTTCAACAAGAATTTTCTGAATGTGTAATCTGGTTATTGTTTTGCACTCATGTCTATTCTCTTGTCAAAGGTAACACTTTTTAGATTATTCACATATAATTTCTGCATAATAATATGATTCTAAGACTTATTTTTCAAAATGTGCACATTTTTATCATTTCTTTAAGTATAACACCTCAGAAACAACTTGTTCTTCATTTAAATCACAGAATATACACATTAGTGCATTTAGAGAAAACATATATTGCTTATGATGGTATTTATCTTAATAGTTGTAAGTTTTTATGTCCTTGCCTATATGATTTAATAACACGTGAAGACTTCAAACATGTGTGTTTGCATGTATGTGTGAATATTGTGAACACACACATTTTCTGAATACATGCTTGTCATGAGCAAGGTATGAAGGCGCACAAACGAGTTGTGTCTCTCCACAATGTCAGCTTTATTCAATCATAAAGCAAAATTAAATCACAATGATAAAGCAGGTTCGGGATTCCAAACTCAATGACAATTCACTGTGTGATTAGATTTGGCTTCTTACACAGCACACAGAGCAGGACAGAAGACAAACCGCACAACAAACAAGATAACAGAAGGGTGCAGAAGTGAAGGAACCAAATGCAAAGTCAGTCTGTGGGTGCACAGTTGAGATAAGGCCTCGGTCTGGTCCAGGTCAGCTCTCGGCACTGAGTGCTTCTGTTGTTCAAGCAGGGAAGGCTCTCGGTTCTGTTCGGAGATCCACGGGGCAGAGCGTTCTGCAGTAGTTGCCTTTTTTAAGTGGTCAGACAGAGAGGGCTCAAGTCTGAAGGGTCTGACTGTTCGCTGCCCAAATCCTTCCCTTTCTAAAGGGATTGAATCTGTTTTGGGTCTCTGCAGACTTCTTCAGCTTCTGCTCTTTATCAGTTCTGGGGTGTCAGCTGACATTGGTCCCCGATATCTCCTAGCTGCAGTACCTTAACCTTAAATAGCAATCATTGATTGACACAGAACCCTGCTAGACACAGGTTCCTGCTTGACATGAGAGACTCCATTTTGCTCTCTACACCACCCCAAGAATTTTTTTTTTAATTGAGAAAATAATAGGGCTGTAACCCACTAAATATTTCTCTCAGGTAGTCAGAATTAAATTGCTAGTTCAAGATGCCCTTTATAATTCTCCAATTGTCCTTATATTAAGGTCTGTGACCTTAACAAGAAGCACTATTTCAAGGCATTTCTGCAACTACTATTTTACATTAGGGTTATGCATCCTTTCCTCCAACTCTGTACCCTCCCCATTTCTTCCTCTCACACGTCTGCCCAGTTTATGAATTTTGTAACATTGTTAAGCATTTAAGTGAATGCAACTTAAACATTTAAATGGATTTAAAGTGTTCGGGAATGTGACTACTAAGAAGTTATGCATCACAGCAGAACCATCTGAAAATACATGTATCCCATCGCTTGAAACAGGGAAAAATGATCACAGGATGGGTCAAAAACAGGTTAAATGATTGTCAATAAAATATAGACATTCAGTCCTTACCTGCTTAACTGCATGATGACAAACAAATCTAAACAGCATGCAAAAAATCTCAAAATTCTGAATCATCTGTCTTCGAAGCTGCTGTGACAGTTTTATACCCTGCTGCTTTCTTCTTTGCTTACATACATTTGACTGGCTAGAATATTTGTAAGCAATACTAGGGTTATTTTGCAACCCCCTGTCACCTCTTCCTCTTTTCAAGCCTCTGGTTGGCATCTCACACAGCTCGAAACAGGCATCTTATCTTCGGAGGTAGAGCCTCCCCAGCGTTTCCCAAACGGATTCCCATCAGAAGGAGGTCCCTGCTCTGACCGGCTGATCACGTTCTCGACCTGGTGCAGAGTAAAACACTCTGTGGTTCAACTCTTGGGGACTAGGAGAACAGCCATCAGAGACTTAAAGTCTCTGCCACTGCTTGGCTGCAGAACCAGCAGGAACTGGCGGCCAAGAAGCACCACCCCCTCTCGGGTGGACACCGAGGGGAGCGCTCCTAGTCCCAGATCCTCCTACTTCCCACCCCACCTCCGGAAAAAGGGAAACAGAAAAATAAAAGCCCAACTTGAAAGTGCTTCTGATACAAGCCAAACGGTTCCCAACCTCATTCTTTGCTTTAACTTCAACCTTATATTCCAAGCTCCAGCTCCAATGTGAAATCCAACTCTCTTTCCCCCACCTCCCCCCAGATTCTTGCGAGTTGGTGAAGGCAGAGAGGGAATGACGGTCAGTAATACTTTAACACGGAGCCTGAGAAGTCACTTAGCAAGTGTAAACTCAACTAAGCAGGGGGATGAAGACGGCGATTATGGGTTTATAAAATAGTAGGCATGCTGAAAAGCCGTCATTTATTAGTCTTAGGTATAGCTCATTAAAAATAATAAATAATAAATAAATAAATAAATAAATAAATGCAAAAGGGTGTTGATAGGAGTCTAGAGCCCCCAAGTCTGTCCTCGCAGACAGAAAAGAGGTTTTGCTCAAGTTTGGCCTGAGGCAGGCTGGAAATGGAGCGTGAGGCACCGAGGCAACCCCCCGGCGCGCCCCCCGCTCCGGGACTGCAAATGCCCACCCCGAGCACAGTGCGCCGCAAGGGCTGAGTGCGGAGCCTGCGCTAGCCCCGCAGAGTGCGGGACACAGTCCCTGCCCGCGCCGCCCTCCCCACACCCAGCCCCGAGCCTGCGGCCAGCCCGGCAACCGGGCACCTCGTGGTCCGCGCTCCCCCGCGCCCAGGTGGCTTAGGCGTTGCCGGGAGCTGCGGAGAAATCTCCAGGCACGGTCGCCTGTTGATCGCCCTCTGGTTACAGCATCCTTGGCGGCAGAGCCTCTCAGACGTCCATGTCCCCCTCACAAGCTGAGTTTCAGGCTATAATACAGCAAAGCGCACTTACCTAAACCCCGTACGTCTGGGCTTTACTGGAGTAGACGAGGTCAAGAAGAAAAGATCTGACTGCACTGAAAGTTGCGTTTTTTGGTTTTGTTTTTGGGTTTGGGGTCTTTTTTTTTTTTTTACCCCCCTCCTTCCACCCTTGCGCAATAGCAGCCGTCCTCCAAAGAGGATATTTGAATTGGTGAATTACGCTAAGCCCTTGTTTCTTCAACTAGAGTCGCGGCGGCTGATGGCACTTGTCAGGCAGGACGACCAGACTAGGAAGGAGCCCAGGTAGAAACTAGTGACGGGTGAGGGGCGCCAGGTGGTGCGGACCACAGTCTCAGCCCTGTTCTGAGGGGCTGGTGGTGAGAGCCAAGGGGGGAAAGCCCTTGAATCCTGAGACTGGGGGATGGGGTGACGCTGCAGCTGGAGTACTTTTATGTCTGGAAGCTAAAAGGGCTTTTGAATTTAAAAAAGCACTACTTAGGTCGTCGCGTCAGCCATCAATGACGACAGAGATAGTTCTTTCTGAGAAATTGAGAGAGAGAGAAAAGAAAAAAGAAAGGAAAATGAAGGAAGAAAAGACAAAAGGAAAGAAAGAAAGAAAGAAAAGCTTAAACAATAGGTTCTCACATCCATCCATCCCAATAAAGAGAAATGTAGAAACCAGGAACTTGTTCTGATGGGGGCTGGGCAGGGTGGGGGGTGTCACAGAGAAAACCCTAAAACCTTAGTATGCGTTAGAGATTGCAATACATGCAGGCTTGACATTTAATTAATACCATGTCCTTGTCAATTTGTGAAGTAAAAGCTAAGATTTAAATGTTACTCAACATACCTATACTTAAAGGGGGAGTGATCATCATAACTGTCAGGTAAGCCCATAAAAAATATTCATAAAAGCAAAAAACACTGACGTTTTAACATACTTATTGAGTCTGGGGGTTGAACAAGTGTGAAGAGTGAGGCAACTGAATTTTTTATATAAAGTCTGTCCCTGATTCTCAATTTATTAGAACCAAGATAATTAGTGCTTTCTTCCGATAGCTCTCTTCCTCTGAAATGAGCACTCTGTGTCCAATTAGCTGTTCACCAGCTAAATTCACAAAATCAGGAATGTACTAAATATTGAAATACAATGCCCAAAATAACATGTTCTTGTGTGATTTGGGATATTGTAAGAAAAAAATGGTGCACTTAAAACTCCCACTCTTCATCTTACCATAGAGTGGCTTTTAGTGCTTAGTGTCCTGCTAAACCCATAAAAATACACTTTACAAAAGTCCTCCTTCAGTCATGTAATTGCTTGCAATGAACAAATGGTGACCTGAACAACCTTCTGAAGATCAGAGACTAGTGAACTTTCTCAGACCCTGAAATTATCAGATTTCTTTTAAGCTTATCTTAGATAAACATATAAAATCTGACCTTTCAAATGGCACAAGACTGTGTGCCAAGAAGCATTAATGTGAGGGGGGAGGGATGGTTAATGTTTCCTATAACCTGTAATACAAATGAGGACAGAAATAAATAATGTAAAAGGTGATGGGTTAATTCATTACGTGGGCTATATCTTAGTAGCACAATTGCAACTAATATGCTAATTAATGAACAGTCACATAGATCTTTGAGTTCCGAAAGTAACAAAAATATCCTTAAAAATGAGATACTGCTGAAATAAACAAAGCTTATTAAAAATAACAGTAGCAATAAGTTTCTAATAAAATATAAGGAGAATAACTTACCAGAGGACATTTCAGGAAGCAAGATGACTATGAGAAAAATATATCCAGGATTCAAACAGATATTCCATGATCTTCCAAATCAGGTACTGATGAGCTGCAGGGTGGTGGAACTTTGAAAAAATCAGCAGTTCCTGGTGGCATGAAACCAACTAAAAACCAGTTACACAGAAAGCCATGAACCCCCAAGGAAAAGAAAGAAAATGTGAAAGAGGTGCCTTTTATTTTGGGGGGTGGGGGTACTTATTTGTAACGATCCTTAGTCAGAAAAAGTGAAAATTTACTGACTGTACATGCCCATACAGTGGGGGAAAATAGAAGCTGTGGAACCCCAGAGAACAGGAGGTGAAATACAGATAAATCTGCAGAGAGAAGTAAAAGGATGTGTTGAAGACAAGAGATAAAGAGAGTACTAGTGAGCAAGGCTGTAGTCATCCTGATAGATACAGCAGCAAGAATGATTTAGGCTGCTGGGAAGGATCCAATGAGAATTCAAGAGGGCACTGCTTCGGAAATCCTGATCTGATCTTCCCACTCTCAGTTCTTTAAGAGTTACCTGCGTTGGGAACATTATTATTAGGATTAATAGTATTCCATCAGTGTATTTCACTAGGATTTCCCTTGAACTCTCTCACTCGCAGCAACTGAGGGAGGCGTAATAAGGAAGCCCAACACAACCAACCCTCCCAAATAAACCACTGTGGTCACTTTAGGATGACCAAATCATCAGCGATTTGCATTGGCGGGGGGGAATCTAAGGGCTGAAGATGCGGATGAGGCCGAGTCGCCGGGCGCTTTCGGGGGCGCTGTGCCGGAGGCTTAGGCAAGGGGGCCCGGAACCGTGGTTACAAGCTGCAGCGGTGGCAGGAGGAGCCCTCCCAGATCCTGTTTTCTCGGAGAATTCTGCAGCCCGCGACTCAAGGCAATTCACTTCCATCCGCAACCTCAGCTCCGAATGCCTTGTTTTAGAAGCTAGAGCTTTGGAGGTTCTGAGGACCGTTCCTGGGGGAGCGGGTGACAGGCTGTGAGGCTTTCGCGTCCCCTCTGATTCCTGCACAGTTACCGAGGGAGGTATGCTAGAAATGGCTTTGCTGCCGAATGCATGCTCTTGCCATTTTCGTATCCCGATACGGCACACACGATCGCCTGATCGATCGGGTAAGATTAGCTTTACTCCTTCTCTCTTTTCCTCTCCAGGGTCCCATCCCTTCTCCGAGCCCAAACCCGAAACCCAAATCCTAGGTTCTCTCTCTCTCTCTCTCTCTCTCTCTCTCTCTCTCTCATTCAACTGAAGAAGTTCCCTTTCCTCTTTGAGACCTACTTCCCCCAGGGAATTGCTTGTGTGACTGAGGGGCTGGTAATTCTCTTTGTAGATGATTTATATTTTGACTGTGAAATGATTCCCCCCTCGCCGCCCTCGGTACCCTCCTTAGAGAAGATCCCTCCCTCCCCATGGGTTCACTCTCTGAGCTTGGATCTGGATGAAGAGCGCTGTGGGAGTCTTTTGCCCTCTGCTCTATCTTCCTCTGGACCCTGAAGCTTAAGCATTATCCGCCTCTCTCTCTCTCTTTTTTAGAAATAGGAGGGAAAGGTAGAGTGGAAATTGATTTCTTGCAGAGACTGAGGCGCCGAATGATAGAAGGAATAAACATTTGCCCTGGATAAAAATGTTCTTGGTAAGTAATCTTATTTTCTGCGGTAGAAAAGGAAACACATTGTTTCTCACTGCCCCATCCCCCACTCCATTCATTTATTTGCTCTCTGTATGTAAATCACGAGCTGGGTCAGTAGAAATTTTCTTTTCCTCCTTCCTAGGAGAACAGCAGCATGTAAGGGTGAATTTGAACTAGGGGGCTTTTAAGAAGGCAATATGAAGGCTTTAAGGCTCTTCATTTCTTACATTCAAACCTACACACAGGTAAAGCTGATTCCTGCTTGCTTGCTTGCTAGAAGAGTATTTAAATACCTCCTTTATTTCTTACTGTTTTTTCTTTCTGAAAATAAAATAGTTTCAGGTAGTAACCCCATGCCCAAGGTTTTCATATTCCTTGGCTATGTTCTAAAATTCCATTCCACAAATAAGAATGTGTATTAAGCTAAAGCTTAATAAGTAAGCTTTAATCTAAAGGCAAGTTAGTTAAAGCTATAGTACCCCTTACTAATGTGTACATCTTTGTTCCAGTTCTTGTACCAGATACAAATTATTAGCATCAAAGATAGCTATTTCCATGCAGTGATGATACCTATAAATTCAGAAAGTCCTCTGGTTTTCATGAGTCTATAGCACCCCCAGCCTGCATTTGCTTATTATGTGAAGAGCATAAAAGTGGGAGGAAGCCATACAGCTCTGAATTGTGCTTACATCATATGTCACTAAGTATGCAGAATAATACATCTTGCAAATTGTGTGAACTTGGTTCATCAAGTGTCAGCTAACCATTTGGGATGTGAAAAACTAAAGGAGACTTGCTCTAAGAGAAATTGTTGCAATTTTGAGTTACAGAATATATTTTACTGGTGTAATATCTGTATTATTTTTTTTCCTCCATTGTTGGTATACCTTATACTATACACCTCTTATTCCCAAATTTTAATGATAAAAAATAAGCTAACTTGCACAAAATTTATTCCTGATATAAATAGGATGGCCTTAACTTCATCCAAAATATCTGATTTAAAATTCCATTGATAAGAAGAGACTTCATTTCAGATCATCAATTTTCTAGAAATCTACTAGGAAATCCCAGAAGAGAGATAGTCAACTGTCATATTTCAACAGCAAAGCAAACTGTGCATGTGCTCAATCAAGTGTCTATAGTCTTTATTACTATCAAAATTGTCCAGGGAAAAAAAAATTCATGTGTGCATAATGTTTTTTTCTTTCTCTCCTTAGGTTGTGTTCCAGCCCTAATAGGGACCTAGAGCAGAAGTTTTTCTTCAGTCATCTAATTTTACCCAAAAGATTACTTCTATGATATGTCTATGTTTTACACAGGCTGACAAATGTTGGTAGGGGTATCTGAGGTCCACACAAGGAGGATGAATGTCGTGAATTTCATTTGTTACAAATTCAACCTTAACAATGGTGGTATATAGAGAGCATACTTTTCATATATGATCTTCATATGCTGCCTAAACCTACTTACTTAATTGCTATTCAAAGAAATCCAGTTATTTGTTGGGGACCCAACCTGACTTAAGTTAGAAAATGTAACATTAAAATTTTTATTTTATATGTGAAATAAATGTAGGTTGCTGTTCTTTTAAATATTTGGAGAATAATAAGTACAGGATAAAAACATTAATTTTGTGACCCATGGTTCCTTAACTGTAACATTTTATAGCACTTAAAGTTTATTAAACTAAGTATTTGAGCATTATATTAAATCATATGACAAAGTTTGATGAACCTCAAAATAGAGTCATAGGGTTTTACATCTCTTAGCTAGCTCTGACCTGGTTTGTACTTAGACCTCTCTCAAAAGTTATACATTCTAATTTTATACTGAAAATGTCCTTTCTTGGATAATCTCAAGACATATCTACAGTTGGTATCTTAACACATTTTATATTACTGGTATTGTTTTTGTTTGCTCTCCTGGCTTCTTCTTTTAAGTGTATAGGTACCACCTAATATATTTCTTACCTATTAATCCACTAAAATGTCTAATCTAAAAGCAATGTTCAAGGTATACTGTATTAGAGAAATTGTGAACCAATTTGCTTGTGAATAAAAATGTCAATATGCTTTAGGTCATTTTAACCTTAAATCAAATTTATAACAAAAATGTAATATAAGTAAACTCAAACTGTTTCTTGCATACAAAAGAGAGCCAGTCATACACACACATACATATACAATTTTCCTCATTAGAATATTTAAATTCATTCATTATATTCTCTGCTATATGTTTATTTTGGTTTTAGATCTTTCTCTTTGAAAGTGTCTAAAGTTTCTTAAATACCTTAATGTGAAAGCATTTTCATGTCTTACTCCATAAGATGAATATGATGCTAAATAAACTGAGCCAATATATTTGAATCTCAAAATAATTACAATAGTCCCCTGCCTTATCCACAGAGGATACGTTCCAAGACCTCCAGTAGACACCTGAAACCATGAATAGTACAGAACCTTAAATATACCATGTTTTTTCCTACACATACATATCTATGATAAAGTTTAATTTATATATTAGGTACAGTAAGAGTTCTATTAATAAAATAAAACAATTATAAAAATATGTTGTAATAAAAGTTATGTGAACATGTCTTTCTCAAAATACTTATTGTACCATACTCACCTTTTTTCTTCTTGTGGTAATGTGAGATAATGAAATGCCTATGTGATGAGGGAATGACATAGACATTGTGACATAGCGTTAGGCTACTACTGACCTTCAGACTCCTTGTCAGAAGGGGATCATCAGTTTCCAGAAACTGAAGCTGTGGGTAGGGTAACTGAAACCTGGGAAAGTGAAACCAGAGATAGAGGGCACTACTGTATGTTGGAACTTGAAGGGACTTTAATGCCATTGAGTCTAACTCCTTGATTATGATGAAGAAATTGAGAACCGGAGAGGTTAAGTGATTAGTGTAATCATGTACTAACTGGTAATCCAAGGAACTTTAAATTTAGTCTTCCTAACTTCTTAGCCAGTATTCATTGTAAATCCATTAAATTCTATCAATAGCTGCTAAAGCAGGTATTGTTTGAAATGGGATAAGGAATAGATGAAAGAGAAAGTAGTACAAAGATGAATAAATTGCATCCTTCTTGGAGTTGATTTTGTTGACAACTAATACTCTCCATTGTAGAAAGTTTTTATTTCCCCATCATGTTTTATCCTCCCCAGCTCCCCGCTGTCCCTGCCCTCAATGATTAGGGAACATTTCTTGTGTAATTTTACTTTCTCAGGAAAGATTCTCAGTGTTTTTGTACTTCACTGGATTGTTCCCTAAACTATTACACGCCTCCCCCCCTTCCCCACCCATAGAACCTTCCAGTGTAGGTTCCAACACCTGCAGTATCACTCTCCATCATGTCACCTGCAGTTCTACTTCTTTTTTTAAAGATTTTATTTATTTATTTGAAAGAGAGAGAGAGAGTGAGAGAACACAAGACAGGGGAGGGTCAGAGGGAGAAGCAGGCTCCCAGCTGAGCAGGGAGCCCAGTGTGGGGCTCTATCCTGGAACTCTGGGATCATGACCTGAGCCGAAGGCAGATGCGTAAGGGACTGATCTACCCAGGTGCCCTGCAGTTCTACTTTTTAAATTCCCTAGCAATATAAAAAATAGAACTGTATCAAGAGGAAAGCCATCTCAAAATAAGATGGTTAATTAGACTTACATCTGAAACCACACACAGGATATGAAATAAATGCAGAGACTAAGACAATACATTGTGATGAAGACATTATTATGCAAAAAAAAAAAAAATCCATGTTCCATTAACAAAGGGCTTTCTTAATAGGAGAAAAGCTATAAAATTTCAGTCTTTAGGAATGTTCACTTTTCTGGAGTGATTGAAGCCATTTTTCATTCTTTCATAAACATCAAAATTTTGAGTATTACATGCAAGTTACTTTTCTTGGAAATGACAAACCTAAAGGACAAATAAAACATTAAAATCCATTGGCAGTTATTACTTCAAAAGGGTTATTATTCTTGGATTAAACAAGAGTAGAAGCAAATCTGAACATATTTTTAAGTCTGTATAATATGCTGTTATAAAATTAAATTTTTACAGTAATCTGAAATATTGCAAAAGATGGAAATGAGAACGAATTTATATTATTTTGTGTTTTAAGGATTGAAAACAAAATCCACACTTACTTAAAACCTACCTATGCTTGAATAAAACTTTCTAATTGTTAAAGGGAAAGATAAGTAGATTCATAGAATTTTTTTTTTTTAAAGATTTTATTTATTTATTTGAGACAGAGAGAATGAGATACAGAAAGCATGAGAGGGAGGAGGGTCAGAGGGAGAAGCAGACTCCCTGCCGAGCAGGGAGCCCGATGCGGGACTCGATCCCGGGACTCCAGGATCATGACCTGAGCCGAAGGCAGTCGCTTAACCAACTGAGCCACCCAGGCGCCCTCATAGAATTTTTTTTAAAGATTTATTTATTTATTTGAGAGGGAGGGAGAGAGCATGAATGGGGGGTGGGGCAGAGGAAAAGAATCCCAAGCAGACTCCTCCCTGGACACAGAGTTTGACACTGAGCTCTGATTATCTCACAACCCTGAGATCATGACATGGGCCCCAAATCAAGAGTCGATCACTTAACCAACTGAACCCCCAGGTGCCCCCATTCATAGAATTTTTTGAAGAACCTACTACAGGCCTGTCATTTTAAATAGATTACCTCCATATCAACCGTGCAATTTGGTTATAAATATTTCATATATGAAGCAACAGTCTCAAAGGGCATTAATTTGCCCAAAGTCACAAACCAAGTAGAAGACTCAGAATTAGAAATCAGTTTTTATGACTTCAAAGTCTGGGTGGATTCCTACTGTATTTTTCTATCGCATATAAAATACTGGGATAATAGAAGTGTTCTGGAAGCATTTATTAAGTAGCATTTGTATTGCTGTAGGTGTTTTTGTGTGATTAATAATGTCTTCACAGGTGTGTAATAGAATTCAGAGCCTAATCTATTTCAAAGAACATGCTGCCCTACTATCAGCGTCATGAAGGGGAAAACATGATTGTGTCTTTTCACATTTATTCTCAACTCCTTTCCTTTGTATTTGCACTACTTAGTACAAGACCTTACATAGAGAAGGAGCTCAGTAAGTATTTATTTAATGGATGAAATTAAGCACTTAACCAAACCTTCCATCTTTAATATTCCTATAAGGGCTTATTGTATTTCATTTTTACCCAACATTTAGAAATATTATTACTAAGTGACAGCATTTTTCAAAATATTTTCAGAATATTTTGCATATATTTGGCCTTAGTAAACAATGTTTAAAATAACAACCTTTGGCTATTGCGCAGGACTTTATATTTTTTATAATACCTTAGTATCCACCACACTAATTTAATCCTCTCACTATGTTGTAAGTTAAAGCATTTTGTTTATTTGAATATAAGGGAAATAAAGTATGAAGAAATTAAAGCACTGTTATTGATTACTAAAAGAAATAATTAAGCTGTTTTTACTCATTATATTGTAGTTCCTAACTTGTTGGCAGGAAGAAGTATGGTGGAAATATCAAATTATTTGTTAATTTTATTAACAAACTATGTGGATGTAAATTCTTCATCTGTCAAATTTTGCATGTAAAATATATTCATAGAAGAGAGAAATGTGTCTAATTTTATGAGCTAAATTATAAAACTATCAGTTTATATAACATTTTGTTAATCAGACCTCTCAGAATTAAGATTTTTTTTTATATTAACAAAAATGATTATTTTCTAAATTATTTGTACTGTCAAAATCTATTCATGAGTGCAGTGACCAAAATATGTTCAATGGCATAGTGATTATATGGATTATTGCATTATCAACTGACATGAATAAATTTGCACAATTTTTGAAGTAACCTAAAAATAACAATTTTGAAAACATTCAAGGAAATGATCAGATACAACTTCCTTACAATCCTCCCTTGTATCTGGATTTCAATAATTATTCAGTGTGGTAGAAAGAATAAAATTTCCCAAAATATCCACATTCTAATCCCCAGGGTGTGTGGCTAGGTTACCGTGTATAGCATAAGGGGTTTTATAAATTTCATAAAGTTGAGGACCTTGAGACACTGAGAGCAGCCTAGATTAGCTGTGTCTCCCTAATACAATCACAAGCATCCTTACAAGAGAAAGGCAAAAAGATGGAGTCAGAGAAAGAGATGTGATGACAGAAGCAGATGGAGTGATGAGGGACCTTTAGCCAAGGAATGCAGGCAGGACACCCTCTAGAAGCTGGAAAAGGGAAGGAAACAGATGATTCCCTAGAGCTTTCAGAAGAAATTAAGCCCTGCTGATCAATTTTAGACCTCTGACCTACAGAATTGTTGACTTAATAATTTGTGTTTTCTTAAGACACTATATATTTGTGATAACTTATAAAAGCAGAGATAGGAAATTAATAGAGCCAGTCCCGCAAAGAGTTCAAAAATAAGTAGTATGTTCTTTCCTCTCTAGGAACTTTAAGATTTAACAGCAAATTCCTGCTTCATGGCCATTCCATTCCTCCAGATATTGAACAAACCATTGTCTTTCATCAGGCAGAAACTTGATTTCCTCAAGAACCAGGCTGATTCATCCAACTTGGTTACATCACCAACTTGGTGAATAGGAACCAGGTGGGGACAACCAGACAATAGTACTAGTCTCCAGAAATAAACTAACAATTTAAGAACATATAATATAGCATGACTTTATTCATTTGGTATATACTACTTAACATAGAGTCTTACACATGTTAGCATCCAATTCATGCTGATTTGGTTATAACAAATATTGATATAGGTGTAAGAAAGTAAATAATGATCATTACATTTGAAGACTGTATGAAAATGAGATGGTATGAAGAAAAGATACTAAGCACAATAACAGTAAGTGCAGAAGCCGGTGAAAATTAGCAAAAATATTAAACGAAATGTGAGATCAAAATGAGACCACAAGGGACTGACTGACAGGGAGTGGGAGGATTTTTATTTTCATGGAAAGATGGATATGAAGCAATGTGATCATTTTCTCCTTGTGTTTTGTACAGTCCTGCAATCAGGAAAAGAACCCAAACGTTTACTTAATTAGGATGCATCATTAATTTTAGTGTCTCGTGAACTCCTAAGGCCTTTCACCCCTTGTAGAAATAAAAGAACCTAATCTACTTGATTGCTAATTCTCTTGGTGTCTCTCAATCTCTGTAATGTGTGTGCTTCCTATTCTGAAGAAATACATACCTTGTAGGAGGAAGAAAAACAATCCTTCACATTGATCATGGAGTTTTGCCTCTGAGGAGAAAATATGAATTTACAGACAAAAGCAATTTTAAAAGACTATATAAAATGAATTCATTTCATATTTATGGAAGAAGCCCAAGCCTACAAGTCAATTCAACAAATATTTATTGAGCATTTATTCAACAATCATTTATTGATAGTATTATGTATAAGAAGCAAGGTTCTAAATGTTATAAGGACATAAAAATAAATAAGTTACAGTCTTTCTGTCCTGGTAA